TTGATTTTTGTTGACTCGAAAGAGCTAACCTTTCGCCAATCAGCCTGCTGACTTCTTCAGAGCTTGACTGCAACTGGCTTGCATTTTACTCTGTACCTGCTTTTATACTGTTTGAGGTGGGCGGAGCTAAATGAGGGGCGTAAACTTCTTCTTCTTCTTCCTGTACCAACGAAAAATCCGAGAGTCTATAAAAATCTATAAGCAACCTAATAATCTTAACCGCGTCACAGGCCACACCTGTCACCAATTTGGGAATCAGACATCCGGAGGGGAATCATGCCCCTCATTTAGCTCCGCCCCCTCAAAAAATATAAAAGCAGGTAAAGTCTGTCAATAGCTATAATAAGTATGAAATATGGCCGAACAGGTCCGTACTTTGCTTAGAATTTAATTATTTGGGGTTTTAGGAAAGATACTAAACAATATTTATTTATTTATGTATGTATTTATTTTTAAATCTAAAATTAATAAAAATATATTTTTATTACCTACTTAAATTATTTAAAATTATTCACATAATATATCAGTATCACTATCTGTTCTAATTATTATTTGTTCTATATTATTTGCAATATGGATATACGATTGTTCTGCTTTTTCTATATGTTTAACAGAATTTGCCCAACTTTGTGGAGGAATGTTAAAAACTTCGGTTTCTATAAATTTGAGGTCATTGGAGTTAACAGGGCAAAACCATTGTTTCGACGAATGGCAGATTTCAGTTGGTGCCAAACATGTTCAATGGGATTAAATATACAATGGTAAGGTGGAAGCCTTAAAACTGTATACCCTAGATTCTTTGCATAATTATCACAGACGTATTCCTTTTGTAGGTTCAAGCTTTGTAGAACTTCAATTAATTGCTTTTTGGTATAATCTTCGTGAAAATAAATGTCGTTATTATACATGTAGTTTTTTATTGTTGCTTTTGTGTCACATGAGGAAGGCGTTTTATTGAATTGTCTACTTTGATAACTTGCATTGTCCATTACAATTACGCTGTTAGGAGGAATGTTTGGAACTAGTTTGTTTTTAAACCAACTTTCAAATAAATCTGCGGTGGTATCTTCATGGTAATCCAGAGAAGAATCTTTAATATTTTTCGCCATTTGGAATTTGGAATCCAACCATCTTTAGAGCCAGCATGCAAAATAGTTATTCTTAGTTATTCTTTTACCCCTTTTTGATGGCGCGTTTGTTTTACACTTAACAGTTGAGTCAACCCAACTCTTTTCTGGAGTATCATAAGTTTCGAACCAGGTTTCATCCAAGTAAATAATTGGCCTATGTTGTTCTGTGTAGATCTTAATTTTTTCTAGATATTTCAGTCGCCATTTCCGACTTCTAAAAGATAGCATTAAAACTTGCCTTTTGTCAATTTTTTTAAATCTAAAGCCCATGTGTTGAATACACTTCCATAAGGTAGTTCTGCCACATTTAAAACCGGTTTCATACTTTTCAAGCCTCCTTATTAAGATATCTAATGTAGGCACGCTTTGTTCCTCGTATAACTGGTAAATTTTAGGCCATATTATATCTCGATCACTTTCATCTACACTCGAGAAAATGTCAGCATCGCTGAAATGGGATTACTCACAATTTTCCATACAGTTGATGTTGGAATTTTCGTCAATGTGGCCGTTTCTTCTAAATATGCTTGCTTGCTGGCACCACGTTCAATGAGAGTCAAATAAACATTGGTTATAACTTCCTTAGTCTCAATAGAATAGTGTTTTCTACATTTGGGCGGGAGCATTTCCTGAGATACACTAGACTCGCACATATTTTGCATAATTCGTACACGATTCAACACGCGCTGTATTACACACGAAATAAGAATTATTACTAATAAACTTAAACTAAGTAGTATACCAAACCAAAGAATATTAAACACAGCCAGGTATAAAATTATTTTCTATTACGGACCACAATTGTACCTGAATTTAAATTCCGAAACTTTAGGTAATAATCTTGTTGCATTGTATGTTAATGACCACCCTTGGATAATCCCAAAAGCAATTGCTCACTTTCTTATATCTATGAACAGACCATAGCATTTTGGGATTAGATTTTAGGGATTTTAGGGCAATGCGTTCAGGTTTTGGAGCATTAAATTTTTGGAGGTTTTGTTTTTTAAGGATTTTTGCGGTTTCAAATCGAATTTCAGTAGTTGTTTGAGATGGCAGTTTGTTTATGGATAGACTCAACATTTGCGATGATATCCTCTTTTGCAGGAACTCATTTTTCCGTGTCGGATGATACAGTTACCGCAGCGTTTGGTAGTTACAATGGCCTGTAGAAGTTTCTTTGAAAAATTAATTTTCGACGATGGTTTACGATGTTAGTTGGAATAGGAAAATCGGTCGGGTTTCGCCGCCCCACCCCGCGAGTCCCGCCGCTCCCCGGGGCGGCGTCATAAAAAATTCACGGTCGCGGTGAATAATTCCGCAGGTTTTTACCGAAAAATGGCGCGTTCCGACGCGCGTTAGTTTGAATATTTATTTCAACAAATTTCGGGCGAAAAACTCGACGTAATGCATTTAGATATTGCCCCCCGTCCCCCCTCCGCGCCGCGGCGGTTGATATTTTACGCGAAATTGTTTTTAAATTTTAAAATGTTTTACGGTCGAGCCTTGGGGGGGGGGGGTTATTTCGTTTTCCCAATTAAACGTTTGTAGTTGTGATGACTAAAATATTAACAATAGCAGCCATGATAAATTATTATTTTTAAATTTCGTTTTATTTTTACTAAACAATATACGGGGTGCCCCTTCGATTCTTTTACTGATTCAAAAGTGGACTCGCCCTATAGTGATCTAATTAATGCAAGGCCAGTTCACTGGATGGATTTGTTGTAAATTTGTGCTAAATCAACTTTATCAATAATGGAAAAAACAGTATACATACTAATAATTAAATCTCACATCAATACTGTTACTTCATTAATAGACAAGTAAAAGTGTTCTGCAGCTCTGGTGCTTATCGGAGCCTGTATCACGCATACGTTCATATAAGAATAAATTTTGCTCCTGTCATTTGAAGCTCCAGGTATAATGTATACAAAATTAGGATTGCAGGTTTACCAATTCTATAAGAACACTGCATTTTAAGCAAATGTAAATCCACTGCTAGCTAGTGAAGTTAGAATCAAGTGAGGTGGGGATTTAACACTTGCTTTGGTATAAAATTGGGTAGTATTTTTTCCTTGCACAAACGTACCAGAAGATCTTATGAACCTTTCACAACAACAAACACGCCGCACTGCCACGCAACAGGTGCATAGGCAGCCTGGGAGCAGTCAGACGACCTGCAAGACCTCCAGAGATAACACCCCTTGATTACTGTTAACAGTATCACTCTGCAGGTGTCAAGACAGTCCTGTGAAGCAGTACAAATACAGTACAGAGTACAGTACAGCTAACAATAATTAATTAAGAAAAGCAAAAGTCGACTTCGGCCGAATGGACATTCTTCTTTTTCACCCTGTTTCTAGGTAAGGGTATCGATTTAAAATAAAACAAAGCGGCTCTGTATCTCTTATAGTCGATATGTCGATACAAATATTTAGCAGGAAACACACTGCGAATTGCTATTATCAAAAGGAAACTCCCAAAGTCCTGAGATAATTAAAATCAGTGCTAAAAATTGGGTCGACCCTCGCTGCACATGTTTTTTATAGCCCAAAAATTAAATATACTGTAATTATTGTATTCCAAAAATACAAAAAAAAAAAAAACGAGGAAAAGCCAGTGGTGCCCATTTTATTTGTGTTTTCCGAGAAGCTATTGGTATTTTTTTAAGTTTGACATCCTGCATCTTGCGTTACGTTTACGTTTGTTTTACTTTTTGTTTTGTCTTTTTACTGGAATCCTTAGTTTTCTGGTATATTTTTGAATTAAGGGGTTAAAGAAAGAATCACTTCACCACTGATTTAATATTTTGATTTTTTTATTATTCTCATTGTCTTTGGCTCTCCTCTCTTCTTTATTCTTTACCGTAGAAGTTCTAATTTTATATGCTTCTTATAGCAAATTAAAGTTCGGAAAGGTGATGAATCACTTCACCACTAATTTAATATTTTGATTTTTTTGTTATTCTCATTCTCTTTGCATGTCCCCTCTTCTTTATTCTTTACCGTGGTAGTTAAAGTTCGGAAAGGTGACGAATCACTTCACCACTGATTTAATATTTTGATTTTTTTATTATTCTCATTGTCTTTGCCTTTCCTCTCTTCTTTATTTTTTACCGTAGTAGTTCAAATTTAATATGCTTCTTATAGCAAATTAAAGTATGGAAAGGGGGAGATTATTTTTTGAAAACTAACCTTAATTGGTTATTTTGGTTTTTTATTTTGAAATAAGGGGTTAAAGAAAGAATCACTTCACCACTGATTTAATATTTTGATTTTTTTTATTTATGCTTTTAATATTTTCCATTTATTTATTTTTATTTTATTTATTTATTGTGTTTGTCCTTTTTTTTTTGGTTTAAATTTTAAACTTTTAGTAGATTACTGGGTACTCCGCCAAATCAAGAAAAAAGTGAAGCAAGCAAGCAAGTTAACCAAAAAAAAAAGAAATAGTTTGGTGAAAAAATCATCAAGAGATTAAACAAAAAGCAGAGACAAAAGAGAAAACAATCGGAGCTGTTCTGATCGTTGATACCGATATGCAAAACGCGACCGCCGACGCCGCTCGCAAGAAGGCGTCGCGACGCTTTTATCGATACACACGTCCGAACCCCAAACTTCCATTGGCAAACCCCGGCGGGGGCGGGATCGGCGCGCATCCCCCCTACCCGGAATGGGAATGTCGTATGGCTCCACTTTATTAAAAAGACTTTACTTTGTTTTCCGTTTTCCTTTGCCCCTTTTTTTATTGCTTATATCCCACTTCTGATTCCATACGCTTAGCAATACAAACCGAGTTTTAATCCGCGCGAGGTGGTTTTTTTTGGGGATTTGGGGGTCAACATCAATAAAATACTGCTCTAACTGACTTCAATGTTTATTGAACACTAGAATATGACGTTATTTTACAAGGTTATTTACAACGAAATAAATATAATAATACTTGTATCACATCACAATATTTCACCTAAGTTTATTTTTCTTAATTTGCAACGTGACGCGCGTCTCCAAACGAATTTGTTTTTGGAAACGCCCATCCGGAACGTAATCTAGGGAATATATAGAACTAGCGACATCTATTATATTTGTTTCTATGTATATACAGGAAGTTTTCCTAGGTAGATTTTTGAGTTTTTTTTTTCTTTTTCGTGTTCGAGGGGCGTTTCAAGTTGGAGACAGAAAATAAAAAAAATTAAGATGAGTGTTTTGTATAAAAAAAAGTTCGAAGCCCGGGTGGCTTTGAACCCGCGACATCTGGTGCTCCATTTATTTTGCGAAGGACACTCTTAAAAGTGTGCTAGGGACGTTGTTATTTAATTAAAATGAACGCCTTGTGTATTACACTCCTTTAAACATAGGAGAAAAAATGTCCGCCATCTCCTACGAGCGCGTTAGTCTACGTGGGTGAGGGTTCTTTGACCGGTACCACGTCCACATGGTGACCGCCAAGGGGTTCCTGCTTCCTCTGCAGCGCCTGCAACGTAAGCGGCGGCAAGAGCGGGAAATTCAATCCTGCGGCGGCCGCCTGCTGAAAGCTGGCCACGTGTTGCAGGCTTTGCAGCAAAGCGGCCGAGTGTTCCTGCGCTTTTCTTCGCAGCTCCGCGACGCTGGATTGGCGCTGGTCCCCGCCCACCGGCGACGTCTGCGACATGACGGACGCCGCGTCGCTAGATGGCAGCAGGTGCGACGTCGACAACGCGCCGCCTAGCGGCTTGATCGGGCAGCACGAACACAGGCCGGGGAAACCTGAAACCATTTCGTTGTAGAATTTTGCAATATGTGGCTTTGAAATAGCAATTTTTACGGAAAACACTTGATAACGGTCGTGGAAAAAAGCTTTGACGTCATTTTGAATATGCTTTGCTGGTCTAAAATTACTTTGGAAAATGAAATGAAAATGAAATCGTTTTTATTGCCCAACTTTTGCCAAAAAACACCACCTGCAGTTTCTGAGCTACGAGGGAAAATTTTCTAAATTTTGATTTTGTAAATACTTTACAATGCAACTTTTAAACAGGAATAAAATTTGAATTCAAAACTTTGTTTTTTCAGGACCGCCATGATTTTTTTCCGCATATTTTATATCCTTAGATGCATGATGCCAAAAATAAGACCAATTTTCTAGATTATCTTCCTTTTTTCTCTTCTCTGATATCCTTATAATAAAAGTATTACTTATTATGTTAAAAAAGCGTTTAAAAAGCTGAATGTTTCACCAATATCGCGAGCAGGCCTTCTATGGAAATGAAGCGTCGCCCTCGCAACTCAGTTAGTCGAAAAGAGAAGCTAAGACACGCAAATATGGGACATAGATGGAGACGTTATGTAAATTATTGGTAGTGAGCAGTAGTGTGTAAATGGCGACTTTGTCATTTTGAAAGAAATAAAGTTTAAATAATGTTAAATTTTACACGAGGTGACTCGTTTGTACCGAACAATTTTTGTCAATTTAAGCCGTAATCATATAGTCTTAAAAGATAATTTTCAGGTTTAATGGAGAGCATTATAAAACTTAACTGTGAGTCACCTCATTTTTGAAATTCTAAATCACACTTTAGAATCCTAATAAGGTTAAAAAGATGCAACAAATATGTTATTATAAGAATAAAAGTTATAATTAAGCCCGTATTACCAAAAATCTAAACCATATAAGTTTTTGGAGTTAAAATATGGCGGAAATAAAATTTAAAGTGGACGATTTTGGAAACGGATTTAAATTATATAAAAAATATTAGATCCGTATTTAAAATTCTTACCCTGATGACGAACTTTCTAAGGAAAATTTGCAATTTAAATTATAATTATAAAATTTTCAAAATCAAAATACCTTTCATATTAAGAAATATACGACACGCTGTTAAATCTAATTATATGTTTTTTTTAAGTTTCAAATTATTGGGGCTGTAATGTGCAAATGGCATCTTGGTATCTTTAATAATAAAGGAGATTGCCGCAATGAGGCATAGAATAAAACTGTATAGTGGACAACAAACAATTGTTTGTTTCTATTATTTATTGTGGGCTAAGTTGCAGCCCTGCGTTTCAAGAAGTCAGTGTTCTAAAGATATCGCGAGCAGGCTTGCACTCTATAAAAAGGGAGCGTCGCACTCGCTAATCAGTTAGTCGAAAAGAGAAGCCAAGACGCGCAAATATAAATAATCAAAGGATATAGATAGATAGAGACGTTATATAAATTAATGGTGATGAAAATCCATCTATCAAAATAAATAAGAACTATAGGTTCAGATTTCTGAATCTGAACTTTTAGTTCTTATTTATTTTAATAGTGACTTTGTCATTTTGAAAGGAATAAATTTTTAATTGTGTTACCTTTCAAGTTTCAAGTTTAATAGACCGTTACCTATAAGCGTTATAAAACTCAACTTTCAATTATTTATTTTTGTAATTAGGCTAAAAATATCAAACAGTAATATTAATATAAGCATAATTAAACCCATAATGCCATAATTCTAAAAGTTTTGGGAGTTAAATTCTTCTTAAATTTTTAATAAAATTTCCAAAACCGAAATACTTTTCATATTGAGAAACTACAAATACTATTCAAAATCTGATTATACTATTTTTTTTTGTATCTTTAATGATAAAGGAGATTCCCGTAGTCTGGTGAACTTCAATGAAATTCCTGGTAACGTTTTTGGTGGTTTTATGGTAAAGAAACCACTTTCTTCTTCTTTTTTTTGTTTGTAGTCGATAATTTTTCATTCCATACATGTCAACCCCCTTTAGTAAACTCGATAAACCTTTTTTCTTGAGACGCGGCGCAGTTAAGTCGCGAGCACGTCAATTTCAAATGATTTATCCCGAAATCCTGTCATAAATTAGGCGTCATAAACGACATTACGACGTGGATGCATGGGCCGTTTGTCTCGCTACCACACCTGCGCCCGCCGCCCCCCGCCGCAATTTTTAAAACTTTCAATTTGATTTGACACGCGTAACCCGTAACTTCTTACCTTTCAACGTCGGGAAGAGCGGCGGCGAAAACTGCGACGATATATGCGACGCCAAATGGGGCGGGAAAAACAGTGGCGGCGTGTTCCTGGCCCCCCCGTCGATGACCGGTCTGAAGCTCGCTCCCGGGCTGAAAAAAAAGGGTCGTTGGTCAGGCAAGAATAAAAATACCGAGTCGAAGCTGATACTGACTTATCAGGCGAATCATTTACAATAGTAGTTAGTTTTGGTTAGTGTTAAGGTCGGTGTAGTAAATAATAGTAATTAATATAATTATAATAATAACATTTATTGTTTCAACCATCAAAATCGCAGGTAACATTCATTCTACACGAAGTACAGGGTGAGTCAACGATAGAGTAAAATTAATTATCTCATTGGTTTTAAAAGTTATGAGAAAGTGGTAAATACAAAATGTGGAAAGATTTTTGGAATGCACAATTTAAAATTATTTCAAAGTATACAGGGTGGCTCAAAATAGCGTTACGAATAAGACATACTATTTAAAATTTTTCTCTTTTATTAGTAACAATACTAAAAGCCTAACCAAATAGTTTTTCCAATATTTTAATTTTTCTAAAATAATTCTTTTCTTTTCTTTTTATTCAAAGAAACGTCCAGAGGCTACTGTAATACTTTTTACAAAGCTTCTGGATTCCACCTGCGTCTGTTTTTGCTGAGTTGAAATTGCTGACGTTTCGCCAATCATACTGTTGGCTTCTTCAGTTTCAGTCAAGCTCTGAAGAAGCCAACAGGATGATTGACGAAACGTCAGCAATTTCGACTCAGCAAAAACCGACGCAGGGGGAACCCAGAAGCTTCGTAAAAAAAATGTAGTTTTCAATTACGATGGCGCCATCATTTTTAAAGATAACGCAACATATACATGCAACCGCTTTTAAATTAGATGCTACAGGGTGTTCAAAATATACCATATTTACAGCTTTTGTATATACCGTTGCAGATAAAACACCTGGGATACAGATTTTACTACCCGTGGTCTGGAATTGAATATTGAGTATTGTTTTGAATAGCGAATTTTGTGTTTTCATCCTTGTGTGCCAATACGTACAAGGTGTTTCAAAGACAAGTTATATGTATCTTAACGAACAGTTATAAGGAAATTAGAAACTTATTTAGTCGCACGGAGTTTAAAAAAAATGTGGCGGACTCTCGGTCATTTAAATATTTACAAAAGATCAAAGGACTCCAGTGACATACCGCTCACCTCTGTTAGACTAACTTCTCATCCTCAAAACACTGAAACCTTTAGGAGTTATTCAAGTTCACAGCAGGTAATGATGACGTGGTCCGGGCTCTATCCCAATTAGAGTCCAATGCTTTAGGAAATTATGGAATATCTCTCTTGTTTAGACTGTATTGTCGAACAATCGTGTCCGTATTAACACACTTTTGATTCCATGCATTGCGATAGGAGTATTTTCCTATGGAAAATTGCAACAGTTTTGCCTTTAGTTAAAATTAGTGCTCCACAGAATGTGATCTTTGACCCATAAATAATTCATTTTTAAAAGAAACTTTCACAGGATATTGTAATATTATTTACAAAATTTTTCGATTCCTTCTGCATTGGTTGTTGTTGAATCGAACTTGCTAATGTTCCGCCAATCATCCTGTTCTTCTGAACATCCTCTCGGGTGACCACCACCACCTAACAGTCTTAACCGCCACTTAGGTATTTACCAGTAACCTGAGGTGATGTGTTTGCCCCTCATTTAGCTCCGCCCTCGTCAAACAACACCCCTAGTCACTCTTTTCTGTGCAAAACTCTTTTATTGTAGATTTCAATTCAAATCAATCAGATTAATTAGTATTTACTTAGAAAGATCACAAATAGTAGAGATTGATAATAGGAGGTCCGGGGTATTAGTGTTGGACAGAGGTGTACCTTAAGGTTCTCTTCTGGGATCTTCGATTATCTTTACTTCGGATATGATTGATTTTATTGAGCAGTGGAACATGCAGACGCTGAGGCTGCTAAAGTTTTAAAGAAGTTAAATAGAAGTTTAGAAAAGACTACAAATAAATCAGACATTTTAAAAATTAGGCTAGTAAGCTTCTTGACATTTCAATCAGTCATGTTAAAATATCGGATGTTCTGATAATAAATTAAGACACATTTTTAACTGAAAAATCATTGCCTGAAGCGTGAGTTTGGTATCACCCAAAATAATGCAATTTTGTATTTGGTCTCTGTTTGGATTTGGCCACTAAAACTACTAAAAATGCAAAACTCATGTATTCGTTTCACGTTCAATCTAAAACTCAAAGATCATAGACAAAAACTTCAGCTAGGTTTCTTTTTACGTAAGGTGCTTAAAACTGGATACCTGGAATATCTGATGGAAAAGAATAAAAAACATGCTAAACCGATACCCCGAGATAAACTTGCTCATCCAGCCTTGTCAATTTTATTGCTTTAAGTATTGTTATATAATTTTAATTTTTGTTTTTGCCTACTCCATCAGTATTACCATTTCCCCCTTTGTTATTGTTATTGTTAAATTTACCTTATTATAACATTTTTTTGACCTGCGTAACAGCTTAACCGAGTCAAAGATGAAGGCGTTTTTAGTTATTAATTTATTTAATAGTGTTGCCAAGGAGATGTACGCCACTGACTTTTTTGCTACCTTTGTTAATTAATTCCAATAAGCCACTAAAAGTTCAATGTGTTGGACTCTTTGAGTTTTCGTATCTTGCTTCGTTTTCGTTTGTATGATTATCTCTTTGACAATAGTGTCGGGACGGCACTTTACTTTGCTGTTTTAATCTATCTTATCATAAATCATAAATCATAAATGGCGTTGCCAAGTTTCAACAACAAAATATTCAACATATTGTGTTTTATTTCCAAACTAACCATTTCTGGACTTACGCATGAAGAATAGGTTATGTTATCCATGGAATAAATAAAAAAATTGTAGAATAGGTCTACAGGTTTACCTAGTCAAGCATGACTTACTGCAGTTGGGAATAATAATTTACAACTTCAGAAACACGGACTTTAACGATAAAAGAAAAACCTCAACATTTTTATACGAAATTTTCAAGTGCGACCCTGTTTCCTTCCCCAAAGTATTGTAGGCAAAAAGTGCGTCCAGCCTATATTTCGCCCAACGGAAAGCTGTCTCGACGGTAAACTGACTTATAGACCAAGCTTCGAAAATCGCGTTAACCGAGCAACCGACTCTGTCGCGTGAATTATCCACACTGTATCCAATTAATACCTTAGCAGAGGCAAATTAAGCTGTCTGAGGCATTTAGGCAAATGCATTCGCTTTGATAGCGCGCGGTAATTTCATATGGGAACCTTCTCAAATGTCGCATACATTATTGAATGGACCCGTTTCTCGGATAGTTCGTTAATTACATTAACGTTCGACTACGAAACACGTCACGCTCCGGGTCGGCGTTTCTTGGCGCAAAATGGCGACCGACGCTGACTGCCGCGTCGCGTTCCCACTTCTGAGGTCTCCGGTCTCAGTTCAGAGACCTTCATTAGGTTCCATTTCTGAGGCTTTCAGTTAGTCTTATATTACTTTCAAAACTCTCCGTTTCAATCATCTTCCATATTCTTTCCATCCATAATTAGCTTCAGGAATTCGTACTTCGTGTTTCTACGTAAAGCTGCTTTTCTTCTTTTAATTATTTGCAACAATTCCGTTTCCGTTCCCACACATCTCAAAACCTCTGTATGCTCTGTTCATGATATTCTCAGTAGTCTTCTGAAGAACCACATTTCAAATACTTCAAGTCGATTTATAGTATTAGGTCTTAGGAGTGCAGACCTCTATGCCGTATAGTAACACTGACTATGCACTTTTCTAAACGATAACGCAATGGCAAACTAAGGCTCTGGTTAGTCAGTATGGTTTTCATTGTTCAATCCTGCTTCGAATCTTAGGGTGCGGATCTAGATCTGGCGAGATATTTAAATTTTTGAGATGACCATTGATTTTTATTCCGTAATCAGTATCTTACAATTTTTTCTATCGGCAAACTTTGGGTGGTTTCATTTCCTACTCTCAAGGATGGTGTTTGGTTAAGGTAAAGGTTTTTTATGAAATCAAGATCTACATCATGTGGTCCAGCTGCTTTCCCCTGATTTCCTTGTTTTATAGCTTTTAGGGCTTCAGCTTTCAAAATTTCGGGGGAGTCTTCACTTGTAAAAGTGTCCACGAGGATTTATTGGTTATTTTCGGTAAACAAAACTTGGATCTTGTTTTAACTCTTCCATTTCTGTACGCAGTTCTTGCAGTCATTGTTCTTTGGCCTTTCTTCTGTTTCTTCTGTTTCTTTTTCTGTTTATGGGGTCGTATTATTTTCTTCAGATCCTCTATTTCCTTATAAAACTGTTCTATTTCGGTACCAGGCTTATCTGAGTGATATTAATGTCTACGGTCCTAACGAGACCCTTCCGTATTATAAATCCGAGTCCACTGCGGTGGTCGGCATGATTGTTGCTTCTTCAGTTATATATTTTCCCATATTTGGCCATTTCATTTTGCTAAGGCCTAGTATATAATAATAGTAATAGTAATAGCCTTTATTAAAATACAACAGAAATACCACAATAGAGTTGCACAAGTGAGAATCAAAAAGCAGCTTACTACCAAGAAAGACTCCTAATTTTTTACATTTGTTGATAAATTCAAGAAGAGTACCATTCAAGGAAAGTTTAAGATCATTTTCCTCCTTTTTTTTTTGCTCCTGGAACATTGGAATATCAGACTATGGGCTTTGGAGGTTCTAGAAAGATCTTCATTTACGTCATTGAAAGACAAAGCTACATCAATAACCCACAATGATAAGTATATCATCAGCACACCGATAACAATAACATTTATTAGGGGTCTAAAGAGAAACTCCTCTTAAAATTCGTAGTCTTATACTACTGATCCCAACAGCGACCTTCCAACTAACTTTTCATAAATGTGATGGCAGAGTCGTTTAAACCTAAGAACTCATCCTATACCATAGCACTGCATTTTCTGTTGTCTAGTTCTCCTGCAGCATACGAAGTTTTTACACTCAAAGATTAAATTTTAAGGGTATTCAGGCACTACTTCTTAGCACCCCTGGCTATTTAAAACCTTAGGCGGACTA